ATATCTGAAATTTAAGGAATATCAAACAACCGCACTTGCTTTGTGCCAAGCACCATGCCAAGTGCTCACCTGACTCTCCCCAGCTGCAAGGAGGGCCACAGTGCCCCCACTTCACAGATGAGACCAAGGTCATCATGACTGACTCAGAATTCTAATGGAGCATCATTTAGCCTGGAAGTCCAGGGTGTCCTCAAACCTTAGATGATACACTTTGTCTTCCTTTTGATGGTACAAGACTCCCCCAAATTCCCAGGCCTGTTCTCACCCCAGAATGGCCCAATCTGGACTGGGTAACCTGTGGTCAGCACATTCTGGGCTAGTTCCAGAGCCTGCTGTGGCCCTCAGGATGCCCCCCACCCCCGCCCCGCCTTCCCACACAGCCCTGACCGTATGACACTCCTCCAGGAAGTCGAAGCTGCCATTTCTCGAAAAATGTTCATCAGAGGCCAGATGTTCACAGCTGGGTAGCCCCATCCCTTCCAAGCAGTTACTGCAGGGACCTCAGGCCCCAGAGGACAAGACTGGGCCGGAGATTTTCAAAGCCCAGTAGCATCCCACCAGGAAAGGGAGCTTCCTCTTCCCTCAAGTCACCCTGGAGGGGGTGTGTGTAAGCTCTCCCATGGGGCAGCCTCACAGTCAGCCACGCCCAGGGGACCCTCCGCCCCCATCCGCCTTTACCCTCCCCTGCCCCCAGGCCAATCAGAGATCTAGTTGGGTAAGCAGAGAAAGTGGGAACAAAGGGAAGGAAAGTCATTTCCTGTCAAGAGGAAGGAAGGAGGCTGGTGTCCAGCCAGCCAGCCACCCAGCCGGGCTTTAGGCTGCAACCCTGGTGCAGGGAATGGGGTGCTGAGGGGGGAGGGCCCCCACTCCCAGTGTCCCCCTTCCTACTCCTTATTGCCTCCTCCAAAAAAACTCTGGAAGCACCTCTAAGCCCCATTCTTTAATAACTGGATAAGTAATCTATGTTTGGGTCTGTGGATAAGTAATCTATGTTTGGGTCTGCCATTAAACTTTGTAGGAGGTGGGGGCAGGGACTGTGCTCTGGCCACACCCCACCAAACACCGGGGTCTTGGCAGCCTTGGAGTGGGGTTCTACCAACCTCTCCCCCACCCTAGGGAACCAATGGGAACACAGAGTTGGGTTCCTTCCTGCTGGGTGACTCTGAGCAGGTCACCAAACTTCTCTGACCTTAACTTTTTCCATGAAGAGAATAATGAGTCTGTCCTGAGGGTGGCTGATAGGACATGAGAGGGCGCTCAGGATCTTGGCACTTGGTAGGTGTAAAGAGAAGGACAGCTGGTTATTCAGCCCTAGGGGGCTGGGCTCGCTGGAGGGTCTTGAGAGGACATGGACCTAGCTGCCACCATTATTAAGAGCAGGAATCTGGGCCAGGGGAGGCGGCTCACGCCTGTAATCCTAGCACTCTGAGAGGCTGAGGCGAGTGGATCACCTGAGCTCAGGAGTTTGAGACCAGCCTGAGCCAGGCGTTGTGGTGAGCACCTCTAATCCTAGCTGCTCCGGAGGCTGAGGCAAGGGGAACACTTGAGCCCAAGAGTTTGAGGTTGCTGTGAGCTATGAAGCCACAGCACTCTACACAAAGAGCGATAAAGTGAGACACTCTCAAAAAAAAAAAGCAAGAATTCGCTCCCCGGGGTCCTCAGATCGAGGCTGGGGGAGGGCCGACGCCAAGATCGTCCCCACGGCACACTCCTTGGGGATCGCCTAGTCCCACACTTTCCCAGCCCCCGACGGGCATTTGAGGCCCAGGAAGGGTCAGCCCGAGGGCCCCCTCCTTCCCCTCGCCTGACCCTGGCTGGGAAAGAGAGCCTGGAGCTCCGGAAACCCGGCGCCCTCACGCAAGCAGCCAAGGAGCGCGGCTGGCCGGGTCACCGCGGGGCGCCGCTGGGGATTTTAATTCGATCCATGTGCGGGACGGTGTCTTCTTTGTGAGCGAGCTTGCGCCCTGCACGCCTGGACGGTCTCCTAGCTCCAGGGCAGGGACACGACCCCCTACCACCCTTACTGGGCCCTGCCCCAGAGTTGTCCCCTCCCCCTCTGGAGACAGAGACCGAAGGACCGAGACAGAAGGACGATAGGACAGCACCCCACACACACACACCCGCCCTGGAGCGCCGGGGCTGGGGTCCCGGTTTGGGGGCAGGGTGGGCTCCAGCCAAGGGCTGCCCGTGCCCTTGTCTGTCACCTGTGTGTGGCCCGGGCAGGAGCGGAACAGGACCCCACCCCCACCCCCGCGCCCACTTACCTGGGCTGCCCGCGCCCGGCGGCTCGTACCCGACTCCGAGCAAGCAGAGCCTGGAGCCGCGGCGCCTCCCGCCCCGCCGCCCTCCCCGCCCCTCGACTCCCTCCGCCCCGCCGCCCCGCGCCGCCTTTACCATAAAAGGTGAAGCTCTAGGGGAGGGGGCACGGGATTCCCGCCCCGCGGACGCCGCCCCACCTGCCCCCCCACCTGCCGTGACGAGCCCCGCGCCGCCCCCTCCTCCTCCCTTTGTTTCTTCGGCCACTTCTCCCCTTCCCCCTCTGCCCAGGCTCGGGTGGGGAGATGGGGTGGGTGGGGGTCTTTTCCTGCGCCCCACCCCCAGGTCCTTCGTGTACCCTGAGGGGTCCTTACTCTTCACCCCTAGATCACCTAGGTTGGCCGCCCCACCTGCCCTGTCCAGTGGGGGTGGGTGGGCTGCTTACACCTAGTTTGGCCCCAGGGTCTTAAAAGTCATGTAGACCAAGGTTGTAAAGCCCTTCACTAAGGTGCGACCTCGGGCTGTAACTCCACCTTCCTGAGCCTCAGTTTATTCATCTGTAAAATGGGGTAACTGCTACCTACCTCTCCAGGGTGGCCTGAGGATAAAAGGGGATCAGGACAGTAAGGTGCACCGTCAGTGGTTAATATCTGCTGGGTTTGGGGCTTTTCCAGGAAGTGCCCTTGATCTGCTGTCCCAAGCAGTCACTGCCTCTTTTGATTCTATAATCCGTCAGCAGGTGGGTCCCAGTGTCCTGAGAGACAGGCCCCTCTGGGAAACCTGGCAAGCAGACCCCAGCTGGCCTTGTGGCTGACCCCCTCCTTCCACCTCCTGTCCACCCTCAAAGCTGGAGTAGAGGGGCGTTGCCTGTGGCTCAGTGGGTAGAGTGCCAACCCCATATACCCAGGGTGGGGGCTTCGAACCCAGCCCCGGCCAAACTGCAACAAAAAGTAGCCAGGCGTTGTGATGGGCACCTGTGGTCCCAGCTACTCTGGAGGCTGAGGCAGGAGAATCACCTAGGCCCAGGAGTTGGAGGTTGCTGTGAGCTGTGATGCCACAGTACTCTACTGAGGGTAATGGAGTGAGACTCTGTCTCTTAAAAAAAAAAAAAAAGCTGGAGTAGATAGATCACGGAGCCAGGATGGGAGGCAGAGCCTGGGCTCTGGGGCCTGGGATGGGGCTAGGATGCGCCCACTGGGTCCCTAGAGGCTTCAGGAACATTGTGGGAAAAGGAATCTGGGTCTGATTCCGAACAAACAGATTGTTCTTTTGATTAAAGCCACAGTGGCTGAGGCCAGAGGAGTGCTGGACCCAGTGCCATCTGGGGGGCAGCCAGGCTCTTCTCTGGCAGCCTGCAGCTGCAGTCCCCTCACCCGCAGCATAGCTCTTGGGCTGCTCCTGAGGGGCTGAAGGTCAGGGGTGTCAGATGGGGAGGGGTTACTGGACACTCAGAATCCCTCATCCACTGATCATTGCCCCTCCCGTCCCTCTGGTCATTTGATCATCACAGCCTGGCTGCAGTTACAGCAGCACAGCAGCTGCTATGCTTGGGGGCTTCCTACATGCTGGAGCCCTGCCTCAAACTTCTTTCATTCCCCACAAGAGCCCTGTGTACCAGGGCTGATTATTACTACCCATGAGACACTGAGGCCTGGAGGGGCTTAAGGCCACTAAAGAGGCAAATGGCTAAGATGGATTCAGACCAGACCAATGGGTGGCCCTGGGCTAATCTGGTCCCTGGGGTGGGTATTCTGCCAGCCTTCACAGATGCAGAAACTGATGCTCGGAGAGACAATGAGAGGTCTGTACGCCAGAGTAAGATGACCTCAAGGTTGCCTGAGCCCCAGTCAGCTCACTCCCCAGCTTGACAATGATGCCCCCCCCACTATATAGCACTGTTTGGAGATTTCCCTGTACCCTCTGCTGGGAAGGAGCCACTAAATGTCAGCGATGGTGATGTCCAAAAGAAAGAAGGTATCACTGGGGTTTTCAGACACTGTCAGTTGTAGTGCCCCTTTCAGTGGTTGGTGACCCAGAAGCTCATTTAATACAGATAAAGATGGAACTGCCCTCCTTTACCTCCATAACATCTCTGAGCCACCTCTCTGCACCCCTCTGTGGGACAAGAAGGTACTAAAGGGTTGACCTGGGACCCTGTTCAAGGTCACAATGACCCAGTCTAGGACCCAGGCCTCCTTCATCTGCTCTGGGATAGTGCAAGGGGAATATGAGGGCCCCACTGCTTCCACTCACCTGGTGTCCTGCACCTCTGGCCACCCGTCCTTCTGCTGTTGCTCCTGATGGAAGGGTGAGTCCCAGCTAAGAGTCTTCTGCACCAGCCCGGGTGTCGGTGTCACCGATCAGCAGGTGCCAAACTTCCTGCAATGGAAACCCAGGAAGTGCGCTAGACGAGAACACATGCCCTTTGTCTGCCAGCTCAGAGGCCCTATTGCCCTCCACCCTCCCTGCCAGCCTCGGACTGGCTTTCTTCCCTTCCCCTCTCCCAGGGCCCCAGCAGGCAAATGGGCTCAGGCCTCTATTACAAGATTGTGACAGCTGAGACCCTGGGTGGTAGGGAAGGGTGAAGAGAGAGAGGTTTGGGGGCAAGGTCCAGGGCAGTGAGGACATTTGCTGCCATGCAGTCTGCTGGGGAGTATGGCACCTGCCGTCCACAGGAGAGGGCCTGGGTTCAGTAGACGCTGGCTTAGCACGTACTATGTGCTGGGGGTGAGTCAAGGAGGCAGCGGGAGTCAAGTCAGACACAAGCCATCCTTGTCCCCATGGAGCTTATGGGGAGGTAGGGGAGAGCGACACATAAAGAAAATTAATATAATCTTAGGATTATCAGTAGTAAAATGTGCTAATGAACAAGGGCTAAGACAGAAGAAGGATGGGGACGGGGCAGAGGTGAAGAGGGCTCAGTTAACCTGAGATAAGGAGGACCCAGAAGGAGAAGAACTCGGGAAGAACCAGGGAAAGGGGGCCAGTGGGGAAACTGTGGGCTTTGAGGCTCAGCGCCTATAGCTCACCTGGCTAAGGCGCCAGCCACGTACACCTAAGGTGGCGGGTTCGAATCCCCAGCCCGGACCCGCCAAACAACAATGACGGCTGCAACCAAAAAATAGCCAGGCGTTGTGGCGGGCACCTGTGGTCCCAGCTACTTGGGAGGCGGAGGCAGGAGACTCGCTTGAGCCCAGGAGTTGGAGGTTGCTGTGAGCTGTAATGCCACAGCACTCAACCCAGGGGACAGCTTGAGGCTCTGTCTCAAAAAAAAAAAAATAAAAATAAAAGTGGGCTTTGAGGTCATACTTAACCCCAGTGCTTTGGTGCTGTCTTTGACCTTGGACAAGTTTTCTCCCTTCTCTGGGCTGGTTGCCTATGACTAGGGAGGCATATGCTTCCCTTTGCAGAAATATTGGGACAAAGGGCCTTCCCATAGTCAGCATCCTGCAGATGGTAGCTATTCCATGTCATAATCACCTGGTTTCCAGAATGTGCTGCTCACACCGTACACACTCTCTCCAGCTGGATCCAAGAATCAATTCTCTCTGGGGCCCCATTTCCTCTTGCAGAGATAGCAGCAATCCCCTTATGGCTTTGTTGTGAGAATTTGATGGGATAATGTGGCTAAAAATGCCTGATGCTTAGCAGGTGTTCAGAGGTGAATTCCTTTCCTCTTCCCACCCCTGACAGGACAGATGTTTTGGAATATTATAGTGAGATGGACAAAGAGCTGAAAGAAAAGGAAAGAAGAAACTTGGTCCTGCAGAAGGACTTCTGTGGTTCTGGTCAGCCCAGGGGTGCTCTCCCTGATTCTGAAAACAGCACCCAGTTTCTGTTTGGGGAGCCTCCCCTCCATCCTCGATGCCTGGGGCTCAGGTGAGATTACCACCACCCCCTGGCTTTGGGGATGTGGTCCCAAAGGACCCAGGTCTGGCCAATCATGAAGGCTGTTAGTGCTAAGATAAGCACCTTTCAGGCTCTGGGCTTAGTGTCCTACCTCAGTCATCTTCAATCCTCTCAACAAATGGAGAAAACTGAGGCACAGAGAGTAACGCTCAAGGTCACATCCACCAAACCCAGATAATCTAGCTCCAGGTCCGTTGACTGAATAGACCAGTTTATAGGGAACGTCATTCAGAATCCATAGGGGAACGGACCAGGCCACAGTTATAGCCATGTGGATCCCCCACTGTCGGGCTCCAAGCCTGTGCCCACCTGCTTCACACAGGCAGGGCCCAGCTTCCCAAGACCCAACTGTGACAACAATGTCTGGGTGTTAATCCCCTCCTAATTTAGGGGCCTAAGCTGGGTCTGGCCAGGCAGGCTGGTTCCCACGGCCAGGCCATCCACTCAGCAAATCAGCACAGGCTCTGGGGGGATGGGGGAAACAGCAGGAGTGGGAGGGCCTATCCTCAATCCCAGCCTTGCTGGTCAGGGCCCCTCCTCACCTTGTTTGTGAGGATCCTTGAACCTGCCCCAAGCCCTCACTGGTCCCATCCCCCTCCTTGAGCCCCTATCCCTCCAGGAACCTCCACTCCCAGCAGCATCTGTCTATCTCAACACCCCCTTACAGACCTATCTCAGCACCCCCAAGTCCCAAGACCCCTCCTTATTAAAGCACAGTATGGCCTAGACCCTGACACAGCCCCCTGCTGGCCTCCTCTGTCCTCTTAGCCAGAGATAGGTTTATTGTAAAGTTAATAAAACTTATGCTCATGGCCTCACTTGCACAGCCCCCGTGAGGGCTGGGAGTTACAGAGTGGTCTAGTCTGAGACAGCAGCCAGGTTACGCTCAGAAAGCATTTCCACATAATGGAAGACTAATCAGGGTCCATCAGAAGAATGGACCTGAACCGCCAAGTCTCCAGTAATTTGTTGTACTTTTTTCCTTATTCTAAATAAATATTC